TCTGCAAATTGTTCTACAGATTCAACACAGTCCCTATAAAAATCCAGACTTTTTTCTTTTTACAGAAATTGACAAGCTGATCCTAAAAATCATGGAAATGCAAGGGACCTTTGCACCCTAATAGACAAAACAAGTCTTGATTATAAAAACCAAAATTGGCTGACCTGTAATACTTCCTGATTTCAAAACTTAATACAAAATAACTGTAAGACAGTGTGGTACTGACATAAGAACAGATGTATGCATCAGTGGAATATAATTATAGTCCAGAAATAAATTGTTAAAGTTATGCTTGATTTCTTATAAGGGTGCAAAGAATATTCATTGGAAACAAGTAGTCTTGGGGCGCCTGGGTGGCTCAGTCGTTAAGTGCCTGACTTTGGCTCAGGTCATGATCCCAGAGTCCTGGGATCGAGCCCCACATCGGGCTCCCTGCTGGGCGGGAAGCCTGCTTCTCCCTCTCCCACTCCCCCTGCTTGTGTTCCCTCTCTCTCTGTGTCTCTCTCTGTCAAATAAAATCTTTAAAAAAAAAAAAAATTAAAGGAAACAAGTAGTCTTTTTGATAAATGTTGCTGGTATGCACATCTAAAAGAATAAAGTTTGATCCCCTGTCTCACACCATCCACAAAACTTAAAACCTACCATAGATCTAAAAGTATAAAACTCTTAGGAAAAAAATAGGAATAAATTTTTGTGGCTTTGGGTTAGGGGAAAGCAACATTGTAAGAGGGGGAAAGGTAATAATATATTGGAGTATATCGAGGTTAAAAACTTAACTATTTGCAAATGATACAATCAAGAAAGTAAAATGACAACAGGACAAAATAAATCATATCTGATAAAGGATTTATTGATTTATTTATTTAAAGATTTTATTTATTTATTTGACAGAGACAGCAAGAGCAGGAACACAAGCAGGGGGAGTGGGAGAGGGAGAAGCAGGCTTCCTGCTGAGCCGGGAGCCCGATGCGGGACTCGATTTCAGGACCATGGGATCATGACCTGAGCCAAAGGCAGTCACTTAACCAACTGAGCCACCCAGGCGCCCTCTGATAAAGGATTTAAATCCAGAATATATAAGATCTCTTACATAAACTCAACAATTAAAAGCCCAGTTAGGAAATGGGCAGAGGATCTGTATAGACAGTTCTCCCAAGACACACAAATGGCTAAGGCAAATGAAAAGATGCTCAGTATCATTAGTTATTAAGGAAATGCGAATCAAAACTACATTGAGATTCTGTTTCACACCTAAGGATGACAAAGATAAAAAGGACAAAAATGTTTACGTAGCCCTGACTATACTAAAAGCCATTGAATTGTACATTTTAAATGTGTGAATTTTATGGTATTTGAATCCTGTCTCAAGATATTTTTTCAAATGAACTTTTTTTATAATGAGTTATGAAATAGACTCTAAACAACTTGCATTCTATAATGACAACCAGTTTATATTAGCCTTAGCCATAGACACTTTACTCTCACCTCCATTCTTTTGCTCTTGTCAGTGGGATGCAGCAGGAGTAAAAAATGGATCGTCTTTGCTAACTAATCATAGTATTCAGAACTGAATATTTACAAGGAAAACCACCAGACATCCTGTTTATGTTCTGACACCCCAGAATCTTCTCTGTAGCGAAGTGTAAAGTCTCTCCCTTCCTATTTAGCATTGATGGATCTTCTTACTAATTGATTATTCTTTTTTTTTTTTTTTTAAAGATTTTATTTATTTGTTTGACAGAGGGAGGGCGAGAGAGAGCACAAGCAGGGGGAACGGCGGGCAGAGGTAGAAGTAGGCTTCCCACTGAGCAGGGAGCCCAATATGGAGCTTGATCCCAGGACCCCGGGATCATGACCTGAACTGAACTGAAGGTGGACACCCAACCAAGTCACCCAGGCGCCCCACTTCTTGACTATTCTTGATTATTGTTTGATATTGAATATCTTCAAGGTTCTTGCTTGTGTTCACGTTCCCAGTTTTATGCTTTTTTTTTTTTTTAAATAGGCTCCACACCCACCGTGGAGCTCAACCTTAAGACCCCAAGATCAGGAGTCACATGCTCTACTATCTGAGCCCCCCAGGCATCCAGGATCCTAGTTCTTGATAAAGTGCTGGCACCTAAATAAAAAAGGAATGGGGATACTAAACCTAGGGGATCAAAGTTTGGTAAGAAGCAAGATACTTATATAGTCTGCAGGTCTCTCCCCACTAATTACTTACTGATTATGAAAATAAAAGTAGTAACTTCACAGTGCAATAGCCTACTGGAAACCACCTTAGCCAAGTGATCAGAGTTAACTTCAGTACTGTATCAGTGTTAATTTGGTAATTGTAATGTGGTTATATAAGCAAGTGTCCTCGTTATTTGGAAATACTCATTTAAGTATTTAAGGGTAAAGAGCTGTGTCTTCAACTGACTCTTAAATAGTTAAGAAAAACTACACTTACGTATATGTGGCAACTAATGAAACAAATGGGGCAAGATGTTAACAACTGGTGAATATCAGTGAAGGTGATAGGGAATTCTTGCATTATTTTTGAAATTTGTCTTAAGTTTGAAATTACTAAAATTTAAAATTTCCCCTAAAAAAGAACATGGCAAGTAAACAAAGCTGTGCATAAACTCCTTGTTTAAATTTTTAAAAAGGCAACTGAAGTCCATTGATATTTCAGATACCTAAGGACTGGTTCTTTGAGAAAGAAAATTTTGGGGTACTTGGATGGCTCAGTCAGTTAAGTGTCCAACTCTTGATATCAGCTCAAGTCATGAATTCGGCATCAAGAGATCTAGCCCCGTGTTGGGCTCCATGCTGGGCGTGGAGCCTACCTTCTGTTCCCTCTCCCTCTGCCCCTCCCCCTTCTCACTCACTGTCTCTTAAAAAAGTTCTACATAGTTGATTAGTATTTTATATTCTATCCAGTTTCTTGAGCAAACCTCTTGAGAAGTAGTGTTTTAAGTCCTGAGCCCTGACGAAATTGATTTTCATGGAAGTAGAGAATGTGTGTTTAGGACTTTTGGGAGATGGTAATACATGTGAAAGTAGAAAGCAGTCCTAATACATTGGGCTTCACAAAAATACCAAAACCAGATATTTTTATACATTATATGTTCCATCTTTACAACATGGCAAGATTTTCTTCAGAGAAGAAACTTCACTATTTTTGAAGACTTTGGTTACTATTTCTGAAAGGTCTCACACAATTAGTATTCTGTGGCAGTAGCACACATGTACCATAAAGTCCATGATCTGGTATGCAAAGATCAGTAATTAATGCTAAAGGGAAATCGCATAATTTCTCATTCCTCTGTAACTTGGTACAACTTTCTGGAAGAAAGGTCAGTGATTTCCTCATGGTTGATGGTACTTGTAAGAGCATTTGCTTCATGTCTCTTTAGCTCCAAGCCGCAGATCAACTTGACCACTTCCAAGTCATGCAGCTTTTTCCAGTAAAGTCCAAACAAAACCACTGTCCATATTTTTAGGACAGTAGGTGCTTTTTAAGGTGTTTTGCTGTGGTCTTTCATACCAAATACTGAGATTTTTTCCACCCATTGTATACTGTAATGAAAGTAAAACCAAAGGGTTTACTAACTTTTTTTTAAGATTTATTTGAGAGAGAGTGAGCACAAGTGGGAGGGGCATAAGGAGAGGGAGAGAAAATCTCAAGCAGACTCCGCACAAGGGGGCTGGATTCCACAACCCTGAGATCATGACCCGAGCCAAAACCAAGAGTCAGATGCTCAACCGACTGGGCCACCTTTTTCTTTTTCTGTTTTTTTTTTAAATTTCTTTTTTAAAGTTTTTATTTTTAGAGAGAGTATGTGTGTGTGCGTGTGAGCGAGTGGGTGGAGGGGCAGACAGAGGGAGAGAATCTGGAGCAGATTCTGAGCTGAGTGTGGAGCCCAAGGTGGGGTACAGTCTCAGGACTCTGAGATCAGGACCTGAGCTGAAATCAAGAGTCAGTCACTTAAGCGACTAAGCCACCCAGGCGCCCCTCATCTTCTTTCTTTTAAGAAGGAATTTACAGGTTAAGCTAGGCTTAGTGACCAACACCTAGCATGGTCATGATGAAAGGGCCAGTTTTCTTGAATTTCTGAGACTGTTCTAGACTGTCATAACATGCTGATGGTGAAAACTGTGATAACTTAATTATATAGAATAGCATCTTGTGTTACTCTTTTTAGGTAAAAATTGGTAATACACGGGCACCTGAGTGGCTCAGTTGGTTAAGTGTCTGTCTGCCTTCAGCTCATGTCATGATCCCAGAGTGCTGGGATTGAGCTGCACCTCAGGCTTCCTGCTCAGTGGGGAGCCTGCTTTCTCCCTCTCCCTCTGTCTCCCAGCTCTTGCTCTCACTGTGTCTCAAATAAATGAATAAAATCTTGAAAAATAAAATAAAATTGGTAATATAATTTATTTTTATAACTTTTTTTATTCTCCATGAAGACTTTTCAGTATAACTGGAAGGAAATCCAAGAAAAAAATTTGTCCTGGTAGTTAGTTCATGTTCACAGACCACTCAGGTCAGTTTTAGGCTGTAATCAGAAATTGCTTCGTTGTGTATAAAGATGGTGCAAAGGTGCTGTGATGAAGAATTTTTTTTTTTTGTCAGAGTGAGCACAAGTGGGGGGAGGGGCAGGCAGAGGGAGAAGCAGGCTCCCCACTGAGCAGGGAGCCCAATGCGGGACTCTATCCCAGGACCCTGGGATCATGACCTGAGCCGAAGAGAGACGCCAAACCGACTGAGCCACCCAGGTGCCCCTGAAGAATTGTTTATGACAGCACATTTAACAGATTGTTTTCTTTTGGTTATGTAAAAGTATGTTTCTGTAGGGAAAATAAGAGATTGGCAGAAACCATGAATTTAATAGTAAACTTCAGGTTGCCTTTTAATAAAGAATTAATGACTTTTTAACTTACTTAATTTCTTTTGGTTAAAGTCAGCAGTGTTGTGGATATCCATGTGTGTATAATGCATAATTTTTCTTAATTTGCAGATCATGAAGACTATGACCCCCAAACTGTGAGGCTGGGAAGTAGATATAGTCATGTTCAAGAAGTCCAAGAACGGCTTAACTTCCTTAGGTTTGTTTTAAACCATCAATGTTGTTCTCTTTAAGACAGATAAAGAATGTTTAGTTAATGTGCTATAGAGTTAGGTCTTTGTTAGGTGATCTTTTCACCCACCACCTTTTACTTTCCCACATGGAAATCACTACCTAAAAGCCAAAGGACATTTCCCTAAATGTTTATGATTAAATACTTTTAAATTATTGGCTGAGTTTTAACTTTTCTTCTTTGAAGTATTTGAAGAGAGTACATTTTAAGATTTTGTATAGACTTCTGTCCTTGTATGTTTTCGCTAAAAATTATTTTTAAAGAATAAATTTCCATATTTTGATATAACCAGCTGGAGAACTATACTCACTTTAATGGTATCCTAGACAATAAGGAAATGGAGACAAAGGGCTGCTGGCTCAACACCTCAAAAGAGTGGTTTGCATCCACTGCTACCTTGTTTATCCTAGCAGTGGCTGACAAAGGTGGTCTGAATGTGTGTATAACATTATTATAATGGGGATGAGGCAAAGAGGTTTATCCCCTTGAGCCATAGCTAAATGTAGTCCAAGGCTCAATTTGAATTTCCTGTGGTAATTAACCTTTAATGATTATACACCTAACAGATTTGAAATTGTTAAGAATTTTCGATGAGCGGTTTCTTGTGAATTCAGAAACCACATACTGCAGAAGTGCTATTCAGTTCCTAAGAGTGCTAAGACAAATGCTCAGATTTTCAGTGCTTTGGGAAATCTATTGCATTTATTATTTTGATATATTGGGGGGATTTTCTCCTGAGCTAAGTTAATTACGGACTTGTTTATTGAACTGTGTGTTTATTTACTGGGACACATTTACATATAAATAGTTACATGATTTTAACTTGAGGAAAAACTCTAGCCACCAGATTTTAAGAAATTTGGCATTTGTTGAAAATGAAATGTTTTTTTCTGTGTGTGTTTTGATTTTCAACCACCTGAATAGAAGGACCTGCCTGTCTTGATCGAAAATCACTGCCATAGTGAGTGACTGTTACTGATTGGTGTATGTTGTATCCCTTAGGTTTCCTAGAACGGAAAAATGGTTATGAGTCCTACTATTTTCAAGTTTGGAATCACAGAACCTATTTTACTCCATGCTTTATTATGTGTCTACATGACCTATAGCAACACACTCAAGAGAGAACCTAACTTAACTTTTTTACTTGGCGTGTGTTAAATGCTTTATATTTAATCCTCATAGCCATGCAGAAGGCAGGTATTCTCCCCATTTGATTAAAAAGCAAATGGAGATCAGCATGGCTTAAACTAGCTTCTTCGAAATCTCGCAGCCAATATGGATGCCAGTTGCACTGCTCAGCTAGATCTATCTGACTTTAAGGTCTATGCTCTTTATATTAGACAGTGATTTTTGCAAATCTGTCTTGGAGCCTTAAGGTTTCTAAGGAGCTTTCTCCAAGATTTCTGAACAAGCATTAGAGATTTGATTTCCCATTTCTCTTTTCTTTACTCCTCCTCCCAACATCGGGGCAGCCCCACTTGTATTTTATACATTGGACTTCCAAATGGAACTTTTGCTTGAAGAAAGTTTTTTGCTGTTGTATTTAAAAACAAAAACAAACTTTGAAAAACAAATGTATGTTACCACAGAGGACATTTCATATTGTATCTGTAAATTAGAGGTAGCAGGGTTAGGTAGGACTAGGTGCTAGAAACCCTCCTGAAGCTCTGCAGTTCTATTAAAATAACAAAAACCTTGGGATTAAGATCCCAAAATGCTTGAAGTAATGAGGGAACGCATTGACATGAAATACCTGCACCTTACTCCATAACTGGGCGTGGAGCCATCATTATGTTAGCTAGAAATTCTGCGCTAATTCAGAATAAAGTGAGGTGTTCTCTTTTCCTGTCATTCACAGATCAGGCAGACAGTGTAGGTGGAGGAATTTTAAAAGAAATACAGAGTTAACAGAAGAGACAGTAGCTGTAACGAAATTCACCTTCATTGTCTTAATAACCAACATTCACAAAACTAAAAAGAGCATCACCGAATAATTGATAAGCATCCTGCTAAATATTGCCAGAAAAAGTTTAAATCATACATACGTTATTCTGTTTAATGCAGCCAGGTACTGAGTTATGCAATTTGACCATCAGAAAGCATTAAAATTTAAGGAATTTTGACTTAAATTAGTTAATGAAATGTTTATCTGTGAAAGTCACTTGGAGACTACCTCATTTTCCAGTGATGCCATAGAAGCAGAATGGTAAAACTCAACCCATTAAACATAGCTTTGCAATGGCTGGTTTCAAAGACCAAACTGTTTAAGTTCAGGAAACAAATCTTTTATTCAGTTTAGGCCCAGTCACCTAGCTGAGTTCCTGGCACATTGTAGGCATCCAATATGTACTTGTTAAATGAATACCTAGAATTTTTTTTTTTTTTAACTACAAGATAAAATTGAGAAGTTTGGTAAGATGTTAATAAGAACTTACATCTTTTTAACTGTTGTTAAAATAATTGTGATAGATGGATTATTACTACATATACTGATAGATTGCCTTTCACAATAAAAATTAATGTAGATCTAATTGCTCATTTTTTATGTTTTCCAAGATTTTTATTGAAGGATGGCCAACTGTGGCTATGTGCTCCTCAGGCAAAACAAATATGGAAATGCTTAGCAGAGAATGCAGTTTACCTTTGTGATCGTGAAGCCTGCTTTAAGTGGTATTCCAAGTTGATGGGGGATGAACCAGACTTGGATCCTGATATTAATAAAGACTTCTTTGAAAGTAATGTGCTTCAGCTTGATCCTTCCCTATTAACTGAGAATGGAATGAAATGTTTTGAGCGATTCTTCAAAGCTGTGAATTGTCGAGAAGGAAAACTAGTAGCAAAAAGGAGAGCATATATGATGGATGATTTGGAGTTAATAGGATTAGACTACCTTTGGAGGGTAAGTGAAAAGTAGGAACTCACATTCTTTCTGATGAAATTTTTCAAATAGCGAAGGGCTACAATTTTGCATATAAATTATATGTGTATGCTGCTCTGATGCTTGTCCCAGAAGGTAGTGATAGTTCATCTTTATCTTATTGGGTCATTTGTCATTAGGTTTTTTCCTTCTCTCCCTTCCCCTCCCTCTCTGTCACTGATGATCCTTTTGTCTTGGCTTAGAATCTGTCCTTCCAGATGTGTTTAGAAATACACTGGCCATACAGATTTTTCATGCCTCCCCATGGAAGTTACTGTTCTTCCTTTTATTCATTCAGTGTAGATCTGTTCTTCTTCGGTGTTAATTTTATGTTACTGTACATGCAATGCTAAAACAGGACAGAGGAAAGGACTATTTAGAATGGACTACAAATGTATACTTTAATGGCAGTGTTTTAACTTAGGATATTTTTAAACACCTGAGGGAGTAAAATATTACCATCTGTTTAATTTTTCCACCTTTTTAGTATTTATATATATATATGTTCTTTAATTGAGATGAAATTGACACAACATTATATTAGCTTCAGGTGCACAACATAATGATTTGATATTTGTATATATTGTGAAATGATGACCCCAGTAAGTCTAGTTAACATCCATCATCACATACTGTTACAAATTTTTTTTCTTGTGATGAAAACTTCGAAGATTTACCCATAGTAACTTTCACAGGTATGCAGTATAGTATTATTAACTGTAGTCACCATGTTGTACATTACATCCTCAGTACTTATTTTATAAATGGAAGTTTGTATCTTTTGACCACCTTCACCCATTTTGTCCATCCCCTGCCTCTGGTAACCACCAGTCTGTTCTCTGTATCTATGAGATGAGTTTTTTGTTTGTTTTTAGATACTACATACAAATGAGATCATACAGTATTTGTCTTTCCCTAAATTTGTTTCACTTGGCATAATGCCCTCCAGGTCTGTCCATGTTGTGGCAATACAGTATTAATGTATTCTATCTTTAAAAATCTGACCTGTTCACAGCAGTTTTTATTGTTTTTTGGATATATTTTTCTGCAAACTATGGACCGTTTACTTTGTCTTTCGATTATTCAAACAGCCAGAACCCTTTTTAAAAATAAAAACTATACGGTACTCCAAAATGTAAAACTAGTTGGAGAAGAGAGATCCTATTGTTTTTTTTCTTTGGGTTTTTGTTTTCTCTGCTCATTCTCCCTGTACTTCCCAGCCTTCCCCCTTCCCAAGCCTACATAGGGGTCAGCCTTAAAACACTTCTTCAACCCCCTAGACTTCTGCGCATAGTTTGAAGACCACCAGTATAATTACATGAGTGATGAAGATCTATAGAAATGGAGGGGACTGTAGTGTAGCTCTTTGTGCTAAACTGTATTTCATTTATATTTTGTTTTTAAGTAATTTGAATTCCTCCTTCAGTGTCTTACAACTTGGTTACCAAGGTGTTGATTTGTAGGGTTAATACTGGTCAAAGCATAGTTTGTTCTTAGTAATAATGTGCCTTCCATTCTTAAACAGATTGCTTTATTCAAACACTTCAGTTTTGCATTTTATTATTACTTTTTTTCGGTCTTTTTTTTTTTCCACTTAATTTTACTTGATTTACTTGAATATCAAAGTAAATATACCCTCAAATTATTTTTGAATAATGTGTTGAAAATAACGGAGGATATGGTTTGAATTGAAATGTCCAGCTAAAATACTTTATGAAAGTTGTTTACACTTGAATCTTTTGAACCTAGGTCGTGATTCAAAGTAATGACGATATTGCCAGCAGAGCTATAGATCTCCTTAAAGAGATATATACAAACCTTGGTCCCAGGCTACAGGTCAATCAGGTAAGGAATGACATCCACTAAAACTTCGACAAATTAGAATTCTGATTAAAGAACTCTTCGCTGATAAGAATTTTTTCTTCGGTCCTGAATTAACTAAATTGTTTTGTTTCAACTCCCATTAAAAGTACACCTAAAAGGGATGCCTGGGTGGCTCAGTCAGTTGAGTGTCTGACTTTTGGTCTCAGGTCAGGTCTTGATCTCAGGGTCATGAGTCCAAGCCCTACATTGCTCCATGTTGAGTGTGGAGCCTGCTTTAAAAATAGTATCTATCTAAAATATTTGGTCTCTTTTTCCATTATATAAAATGTTATCTAAATGAATCTTGTCTTGATAATTACATGAAGTGATTATTTTGAGTATAATTATGGCATGAGATTTCAACTGAATTTCTTTTGATTCTACCACATACTCCAAAGTTCATTTTTTTTAATACCTAGCTCATACTTCTTAAGGTACATAACTCTAGCTTCCTTTGACAAAACATGGTATGTTTTATTGTCAGTATAGACTTTGGTTAAATAATTGAGAGCTATCTTTAATTAGTTATTGCCATCTTTAATTGAATTAATGTTTTTAAAAAGTGGTTTTTTTTTTTTTTACATTTTAAAGCATCTTGTACTGTCTTTATTTGACCCATTATTTGTAGGTGGTAATCCATGAAGACTTCATTCAGTCTTGCTTTGATCGTTTGAAAGCCTCTTATGACACGTTGTGTGTTTTGGATGGTGACAAAGACAGTATTAATTGTGCAAGGCAGGAAGCTGTTCGAATGGTTCGAGTATTAACTGTGTTAAGAGAGTACATAAATGAATGTGACAGTGATTATCACGAGGAAAGAACAATTCTACCTATGTCAAGGTTTGTGAATAACTGATCTGCTAATTAATTATTTGGTGCTTTCCTAGACCTTTTTTTCCCCAGGATCTAGTTTTTGTTTGTTGTTGTTTTGGTAGGGCATTAAGTCTAGTTTCCTCTTTGTATTCCTTTTTTTTTTTTTTTGCCATGATTTTAGTACCTGTTAAGTGTTGCCAAGGATAAGAAATTGAAGTATTTTGATGCCATTCATTTATACAGTTAATTGCATAGTAAGATTGGAGAATAATTGGAAAAAACTCTTAAAAGTTGTTTTTGATAGGTAGCTGATACAGCAAGAAATACTTCCAGATGGTCTACTAACATTTCTGTTAAGGTCGTCTCACCATTGAGTAATTCAAATAGTATTTATTATTTAGAGATGTTTATAGAATGAATGCTATAAGTATTTTTTTTTTTTTTTTTAGATTTTTTATTTATTTGAGAGAGAATGAGAGAGAGCACATGAGAGGGGGGAGGGTCAGAGGGAGAAGCAGACTCCCTGCCAAGCAGGGAGCCCGATGCGGGACTCGATCCAGGGACTCCAGGATCATGACCTGAGCCGAAGGCAGTTGCTTAACCAACTGAGCCACCCAGGCGCCCTGAATGCTATAAGTATTTATTTTAAAAGAGTTCTCATTGCTAACCATGAAATTATATAAAGTTGCTTCTTGAATATAATTTTTAGTTGTTGTATCTTGCCTATGAGAAGATGTTATCAGGGGTGCCTGGGTGGCTCAGTCAGTTAAGTATCTGCCTTTGGCTCAGGTCTGAGATCGAGCCCCGTTTTGGGATCCCTGCTCAGCAGGGAATCTGCTTCTCCCTTTGGCCCTCTCCCCATCCCCCACTCTTGCTCTCTCGCCTACTTGCGCTCTCTCTCTTCTCTCAAATAAATAAATAAAATTTTAAAGAAAGATATTAAATATTATTTGGGGTGTGAAGTTTGATATTAACAATTTTTCAGAAAAAATTTACGTCTTTGCATTTTTGTTAATATTCTCAAGCTAAAGTTTATCTTTCATGTTTAAAAATAGTCTTAGTGAGTTGCACTTTTATGGCATTAAAATAAGTGTCAACTCAGGTCTGATTAATTTCTTATAACTAGACATCTCATTTTCTGCAAGCATCGGTACAAGAATAACAGTGGGAAATGATTGTTGTATTTTCAAGATCACTTAAAATATTTGAAATTAAAAGGCAATAAATTTTTATTTTCAAGATCCTAAAAATAATAAGTATACTTAACTCACTTTCTCTTGTTTAATAAGAAAATATTCAATATTAAATTCCTGTGTTTATTTTCTTTACAAGAAGATAGAAATTCTGCTAACTAGGATTTTTTTTTTCTCCTCCCCCTCCCCCCAGAGCTTTCCGTGGTAAACACCTCTCTTTTATAGTTCGATTTCCAAACCAGGGCAGACAAGTTGATGACTTGGACGTATGGTCTCATACAAATGATACGATCGGTTCAGTAAGACGATATATTCTCAATCGTATTAAAGCCAATGTAGCTCATACAAAAATTGAGCTCTTTGTGGGCGGTGAACTGATAGATCCTGCAGACGACAGAAAGTTGATTGGACAATTAAACTTAAAAGATAAATCAGTAAGTATCTATAATTATCAAACTTTTCAAGAAGGTCAAACCTGGGGCACCTGGTTGGCTTAGTTGGGTTAAGCATCTGCCTTCGGCTCAGGTCATGATCTCAGGGTCCTGGGATCGAGCCCCACATCAGCTCCCTGCTTAACGGGAAGCCTGCTTCTCCCTCTCTCTCTGCCTGCCGCTCCCCCTGCTTGTGCTCTCTCTCTGTCTCTGTCAAATAAATAAATAAAATGTTCTTTAAAGAAAAAAAGAGGGCGCCTGGGTGGCTCAGTTGGTTAAGCGACTGCCTTCGGCTCAGGTCATGATCCTGGAGTCCCGGGATCGAGTCCCACATCAGGCTCCCTGCTCAGCAGGGAGTCTGCTTCTCCCTCTGACCCTCCTCCCTCTCATGCTGTCTCTCATTCTCTCTCTCGCAAATAAATAAAATCTTAAAAAAAAAAAATTAAGAAAAAAAAGTCAAACCTATTTTTCATTTCACTAGTTAACAGTTTATTCAGTAAATATTAATTGAGCATCTGTTATGTGTGAGGCTTCTTTATTAGGTATTTGGATTATAACACTAAGACTGGCATTATGGTACTTACAATATAGTAGAAGTTTTGTAAAAAATAAAACTATTTGGTTGTTAGGCAGTACCTACTAATTGTATTTTTAGAAGTATTGCCTACAGTTTTTTTGTTTGTTGGTATGTTACTAACTTCTGTTTTGCATATTTTTCCTTGTCTTTGATACTAACTTAGTATGTTATTTTCAGCTAATTACAGCCAAACTTACACAAATAAGTTCCAATATGCCTTCAAGCCCTGATAGTTCTTCTGATTCCTCAACTGGGTCTCCTGGAAACCATGGTAATCACTACAGTGATGGTCCCAATCCAGAAGTGGAAAGCTGTTTGCCTGGGGTGGTGAGTAGATGGTTTTGAGCTACTGTATGCAGGGCATTATAGAAATATAGTTTGACCTCATATTGACCACCTGCCCCTGCCTCATCCTTCTCCCACCCCACCCCACCCCGGGGTGAAGTAGAAAATTCATGTATATCTTTTATTTTTATTTATTTATTTATTTTCCATGTATATCTTTTAACTCCCCAAAACTTAACTACTCATAACCTAGTGTTAACCAGATGCCTTACTAATAACATAACCAGTTGATGAACACATATTTTGTATGTTATATGTATACTTACTGTATTTGTACTGTATTATATATTGTATGTATAATACACTGTATTTATTTTTATAATAAAGCTACAGAAAAGACAATGTTAAAATCATAAGAGAAAATACATTTATAGTACTGTCTTGTGGGAAAAAATATGTGTGTAAGTGAACCTGTGCAGTTCAAACCCGTGTTGAAGGGCCAGCTGTATATAGACTAGTTCTTTTTTCTTGAGAAGTGTACAGTTTAATGTGGCAAAATATCAATTAACTGTATAGTTAACCATCAACTTCAGATTAGATCTGAAAGGTGATTGTAACTTGGTTGAAATTTAAAACATTTCCCTTTAGAGACAGTATTTTTAGGTTTACATAAAATTAATCTATTATACAGCTGAATTAAAACTCTTAAAATATATAAACTTAGAAAAATATCACTGTATCTTGTATTCGTACCACAGAAATGAATCCTTTCTTCACAGCTGTTTCTGTAGGAAAATGTCTGCAATCTTTCTCAAGTTGTTCTTAACATATCTAGTATCTAAAAAAACAGTGATTCCTCCCTTCTTTACCCTCTCCTTCCACCCGTCCCCAAAAGAATTTTAATGGCTGCGATAATAACCAGCCACTCCAGTGTCAGAAGAATTGGCTCCTTAGAACAGTTGGATTAGGAATTTAACTATTTGCAGGCATGACAGCTTTTTGCATATATGGAGTCTAACTTGTATGTATGAGAGAAATAATTTAACAAAATAATAAAAGAGCCGTCACACAGAAATTACTGGAGATAGCTTGGATAATATATTCAGTCGGCATCATGAAGGATTTCTACAGGTGGAATGATGGGTAAGACAGGCCATTTTAGAGAGAGTAGAAATGACACAAATTGGTGGAAATTACTTGGCTGTTTTTTGCGGGGGAGGGGCATGTAATTTATAGGTAAATGGTTTGTATATTTTGTATTCCAGATAATGTCACTGCATCCCAGATACATCTCTTTCCTTTGGCAAGTTGCAGACTTAGGTAGCAGCCTAAATATGCCTCCACTTAGAGATGGAGCAAGAGTACTTATGAAGCTTATGCCACCAGGTAAGAATTTTTTTTATAAGTATAATGCTCATAAAATATACGCTGGACAATAACAGGGTATATCTGTCTAGATGGAATATCCTTTGTTACATAGACCACATCAGGAGTTGGCAAACTACAGAGCACAGGCCAAATTCAGCCCACTGCCTGATTTTGTATAGTCCAGGAGCCAAGGATGGTTTTTACATTATTAAATGGGGGAAGCAAGAAAATAATATTTTGTGGTTTGTGAAAATTACATGAAATTTAATATTTTCGTGTCCTAAACAAACTTATTAGCATGCAGCCATGCTCATTCATTTACATACTAACTGTGGCTACTTTTGTTTTAAAACAGCGAGCTCAGTGGTTGTAGCTGACACCCTATGGCCTGCAAAACCTTAAATATTTACTATCTGACCTCTGCACTGTATTATGGGCCATGTGTCATCTGTGGCACTGCTCCTTTTTTATTCCTTAGAAACAACCACTTTATAGTGCAGCTTTTTTCTTGTATATGTATATACCATTATATCTGTAAATAATAATCTCATACAACTGTGTCTTTGTCAATTTTAGATACCTACTGAGTTTCTATCATACAGATGAAAACTTAAGTCTTACTCTCATATTCTCCCCAATTTTGCTTAAATTCATATCTAAAATTGATGCTAAAATGTAAATTTACATTTCAAGAGTCTGAAAAGTAGTTTGCCTGGATTACTGACAACTTTTTTTTACTGGATTTAATACTGCCTTTTCGTTCTCTTCATTTTCTGTACACCTATCTCTAATTCATTCCATATATCTTCTAATAACTTCTCAAAATAATTTCCCATTGTTATTTGCATTATATAATCTGTCAGGTTCACTGTTTTCTGGAACCTTTCTTCCTTCTCTCATCTGTTGCTCTTTGCCTTCTATACGGCTACTGTTGTGGGACTTCTTTTTTCACCTTTTCCGTGGCAGGGTCCCTATTCTCAGGTTCTGTGTCTTGGGCCTTTCTTGAAATTTTTTCTCCCCTCCTCCCACAAGGATGTCCTCCTTACCCTACTTGGGCTATAATACCCTAGACTAGGAGCCCTTTCACATACAGTTTAAACAGCACTAATAAAAATAATTTGGATCTTCAGAGAGAACTTGAACAGCCCACCAGGTAGTTGAATGTGGCTGAAGGCTGCCTCAGCAGATAATAAAAAGACATGAGACCAATAGAAAATGCTGACTTGGTAGTGCTGAGATAACACGGGGAAGTGGAGCTCCGAGACAGATGGGCTGCCATTAAAGTGGGCCCAGAACAAACACCCAACCAGAGTCCTGAAAGGCTGGGAGTGCACCTCTCAGGATGAGCTCTGTCTGTGTGCAGGTGCTCACTTTTCATTTTTCCTAAGAAGTTAAAAGGGCTTCTTTCTATACAGCTGCCAGGCCACGGGGTTTTTCGTTGGTTGGTTTTGGTTTTTGTTGTTTTTGAAAGTTGCACTTCTTCTGCTATACTGGCACCTTCCACATTATACTGACACTCTTTTATTTGCCATTTGAATATGAGCTAATTGGGGTTTTAGAAACGTGTGTGACTATTAACTTAATAGACTGTACTTATTTCCCTGAAGCCTAATACTGATAGGTGCTTTATTTTGTTTCCTGCTTGTCTCTTGTTTTTGGAGAGTACCTTTTTTCCTATTAAAAACTTATTTTGGGGGCACCTGGGTGGCTCAATCGTTAAGCGTCTGCCTTCGGCTCAGGTCATGATTCCAGCGTTCTGGGATTGAGCCCCACATCAGGCTCCCTGCTCGGCGGGAAGGCTGTTTCTCCCTCTCCCACTCCCCCTGTTTTTGTTCCCTCTCTTGCTGTGTCTCTCTCTGTCAAATAAATAAATAAAATCCTAAATACATACATACATGCTTATTTTCGGGACCCCTGGGTGGCTCAGTCGGTTAGGCATCTCCCTCCGGCTCAAGTTGTGATCCTGGGGTCCTGGGATCAAATCCCGCATTGGGCTTCCTGCTCAACGGAGAATCTGCTTCTCCCTCTGCCTGTTGCTCCCCCTGCTTGTGCTTCCCCCCTTCAAAATAAATAAAATCTTTTTTAAAAAATAAAATTTAAACTTTCTTATTAAATAATTTCAAACTTAACAAAGAACAGTACGATCTCATTTACCCTTCCCCAGATTCAATAGTTAACATTTTGCTATATTTGTTACATCATTCTGTGGTAAGATTTTTTTTCTAACCTTCGAAGAACAAGTTGTAGATACCCTGTCTTTTTATCCCTAAATACCTATTGCTTTCTAAGAACAAGGACATTCTCTTCAAATTACCACAGTATTAATCAAAATCAGAAAATACAGCATTGGGGCGCCTGGGTGGCTCAGTCCTTAAGCGTCTGCCTTCGGCTCAGGTCATGATCCCAGGATCCTGGGATCAAGCCCCGCATCGGGCACCCTACTCCACAGAAGTCTGCTTCTCCCTGTCCCACTCCCCCTGCTTGTGTTCCCTCTCTTGCTATGTCTCTCTCTGCCAAATAAATAAAATCTTTCAAAAGAAAAAGAAAAGTACAGCATTGGTAAATTAATTTATAGAACTTATATTTACTAATTATCCCCATAATGAACCTTAAAACTGTTTTCTGGTTGAGAGTCCAATTCAGCTTCTTACATTGCATGATTCATGTGGTATCTTTAATCTAGAACGGTTCCTCAGTCTTTGACTTTTATGACTTTGATGGTTTTGAAAAGCGCACAGATCAGTTGTGTTGAATTTGTCTGCTTAGCTTTTGTCTGTTTCCTGATGTTATATACAGGTTGTACATTTTTGTCACAATACCACTTATGTGATGCTCTGTCTTTGTCAGAGCATTATACCAGGAGGCACATGTCAGTTTGTCCTTTATTGGTGACATTATCCCGGATCACATAATTGATGTCTGCCAGGTTTCTCCTCTGCAAAGTTACTTTTCCTTTTTTGGAGAGATGTTTTGAGACCCTTTAACTCTTTCCTCATCAAACTTTTACTTACTGATTTTACCATTCGTTGTGATTATTGCTTGAATCCGTTTTTTCTGTAATGGTTGCAAAATGGTGATTTTATTTAACTTGATCTTTCTACATTTACTGGTTGGCAACCCTATTTGTGATGTGTTATATGGCACAAGATGTTTAAAACTCATCCAGTACTTTTATCCTAGCCCTAGAATCAGCCATTACTCCTTTCAGTGAGAGAGAGGTTATTTAGAAACCAGAAACTTATTACTATTGGGGTGTCTTGTTTCCAGGCCTTTTCATTAAACTGAGGAAGTAATACACATCTATATCAATGTCTGTATCTGTCTCTGTTAGAAGAAACAAACATGGGTTCATACTGGTACTCCTACAGCTTCTTCGTCTTTCTCAGTTTGATATTTGTATCTATAAATTAGTGGGAAATCTGCTTCCCAACTTCATTGATTTATTTTTGGTGCGGGGTGGGGGGGATGACTTGCTTCTTATGCAGACTTCAGCCACTGTTGTTAGGTCTTTGATTCATCTCTACTTTCCCAAGTACCTATTGTTTTCATATCCTTAGCTTTTCTAGGATTCAGTGGGGTATTAACTTAATAAGTAGCCTCTCCCCCACCCCCTCCACCCTCTTAACTAACCCCACAGGTGCTTCTTGGTTCATCTAAGCCAGCTGTCTTCCATCCTCTCTATACCTTCAGTAATTGGCTCACATCTTTCTAGTGTTTCTTCATCTCCGATTTGTATGTCCTTTTGAGTTTATAATATTTTATAATCAGTTATTCTTATTGTAGTGGGGTTTGTGGGTGCATTGCTGATAAATACAGTTCAGAATTGGCCCAGATAATTTTTAAGACTGTGTGTTTCCATTATTTCCTTTTTCTAAAGCAAACACCATATTGGCATTTCCCATCTTGTTTTCTGTTTAATGTGGGACAGAATCAGTTCAGATATTTAGGTTCTTAGCTAAAGCTTCTCTCAACCATTTAATTTAATCCTTATCCTTTACCTGTTGTACTGTTTAGAATTTGTATTGTTTTATTTACTGGTGTTTGAGTAACAGTTGTTTTTGCTTTATGTATGCAGAGTCCACCTTCACAACATAATTTAAAACACAAACCCACTTCAGAATCACTGATCTTGTGATTTGAGCATAATGCCACTACATGGTGGGAGTGAGCTTTTGCCAGAATTTCAGGCAGGAAACCTAAGAGTGCTTTTTTCATATTTTATATGATGAAAGTATAGTACCTAAATTTGAAAAAGCCAGTAATGATCGTATTACAGTAGACAAATCACAGGCTTTGGACTCAAATGGACTTGAGTTCCTGTTCTGATTCTAGTTGTTATTCATGCCTTAGACATGTTTTCCTAATTTTTCAGAACTTCCTTATCTATAAAACTGAGCTAATAATAACTATTTCATGGAATTGCAGGGATTACAAGGGTAATCCATTCATACATCTGTGGAAAACCCCAGCCTAATGACTGGTATTTAATGAATATTCAACAAATGTTAACCTCCTCCCTGTCACTGTGGTTGCCTCATGCATGCACACACACATACACATCATTCTCTCTCTCTCCCTCCTTCCCTCCTTTTAAGAAAGGAAGCAGGGACTCTAAGGAATTCTGTTTCTAGCTGTGTTACCTTTGGGTAAACATTTAATGTTTGTGCATGCTTGCATATATTTTAAACTGGGAGAAAACCAAGGTGGAATGAGTAGCTTTTTTTTTTTTTTCTAGTCATTGGCTTTACCTCTCTTAGTTCTTTCTGAACCTGCCTGAAGTCAGGTGCCTCTATTATGAGTTGCTGTTAAACTTGGAACATCTCCAATCTTCTCTGTAGGTAATTTAATCTCTTGTAATTTAGACTGTACTCTCTGTGTGCATCAGGAAAACAGATTCTTCTTGATACTGAGTGATTAAAATGTATACTGCTTTACCAAGCAGACTGAGTTGCTTTTCCTCTTCAGCGCTTCCACTTTTTTTTTTTTTTAAGATTTTATTTATTTGAGAGAGAGCAGGAGCAGGGGGCGGGGCAGAGGGAGAGGGAGAAGCAGACTCTCCGCCGAGTGGGGAGTTCTATGCGCAGTTCAGTCCCAGGACTCTGGGGTCATGACCTGAACCAGAGGCAGACACCCAACAGACTAAGCCACCCAGGTGTCCCTACTTAGAATATTTTTAAACCAATAAGACATTCTCAAATACAGCCTATGAATTGGTTTGTTTTTAGAGAATAATTTGGTGTTGTATGTTAGAAGTTTTGGACCTTGGTGGTTCTTTCTGCTTGCAGGATTTTTTCCTGATGAAATAAATAATTGCAAAGATTTAGCTGCTAGGATCTTCAGTATAAAAAAAATACTGGGGAAAAAACCCTAAATGCCCAATAATAGAGATTAAACTGGTAAAATGACAATGTCATTTTAATCACCAATTAAAAATAATACAGGGGATGAATATTTAATGACCTGAGAAGCTGTTCACAAATGTTTGATTATAAGAACTTAATATTTTAGTTACATTATCTGTCACTGTCCCTTCAGAATAGGGGAAACCAACAATTTTTATACAAACTGAAGATTTTTTTTAAAGATTTTTTTATTTTGTTTTTAATCTCTATACCCAGTGTTGGGGCTCGAACTCACAACCCCAAGATGAAGAGTCACATGCTCCACCGAGTCAGCCAGGCATACCACAAACTGAAGATTTTTTGATAAGATATTTCTAGGCTATTTCCAGGCCTATAAAATTAGCTTGCCGTATGGAAATTATAGTAATTTTCAGTTATCTTTATTCTTCAAAAAAAGCTTTAATTTTTTTTTAAAACAATCTTATTTATCAAGTGGTATTTTAATCATAGCGCATTTACCTTGGAAATAATTTGATGATACCAGAGTACTATCTAAAGTTGATTGACTATTCTTAAGTTTGAATGTTTGGTAACTTATGCTAAATTGTATCATGGGTTTTTTTGTTTTTAAACTGTTTTCACTGTGCTTTAAAAGAAAGGTTGGGGGTGCCCGGGTGGCTCAGTCGGTTAGGCGTCCAGCTCTTGGTTTCCGCTCAGTCATGTTATCGAGTTCCACATGGGGCTCCACACTCAGCACAGAGTCTGCTTGAGATTCTCCCTCTGGCCGCCCCCCCCCCACCCCAGTAAATGAAATCTTTAAAAAAGAAAGTAATAAACAAGCAAACTTGTGTTTTAATACCCGGGGGGAGGGGTAAAAAAAACACTGTGCTTACTTTGAGGTAAATATTAATCACTGTAGGTTTCTCCTACTCAAAAGTAGAGTGTTCCTGTGAAACCTTTTGTAAGCCAAAATGGTGTAAAGCAAAGAAGCAATTACCATTAGTTTATATGGAAAATTTTTTGAGTGTTCCCACACCCAAAAAGTAACCTCTTAGGCTTTTCTGATACCTTAGGACAAATCTTGTTCTAATGGATGCACAAAATAAGAAAAACACAGAGGCAGCCCGAAGCTCTGGTGGCTTGTTGCTGAGTGTTATTCCCAGGGAAGGAGCTTTGCGGGGCTACTTTCGCTGCTTGGGGGTGCACACTGCCTCTTAAACAGCTTTCTGCAAAACACACTGGATTCTATTTTTGCTTTTTGCCTCTTTTCATAAAAGCGATCATCCTCTTTGGATTTCTTGTGGCTAATGAAAACAGGTGCTAATGTAGGTCTTTCATAACGGTCTGCCTATATTCCTTTCTTTTTTTTCTTCGCCATCTTTCCTTTTAAAATTCAGTTTCTAAGGTACCACTAAGCTCTTTTCATTAAAATAAAACAGTTAATGCATAGTGTCATGAAGGTGAACGATAGAGAAGTTGGAAGGAAGAGCTTCTAATTTTTTCTCTTCTGTTATTTTCAATAAGAATTACTTCTTTTTGGGGGCGCCTGGGTGGGTGAGTCATTAAGCATCTGCCTTCGGCTCAGGTCATGATCCCAGCGTCCTGGGATCGAGCCCCGCATGGGGCTCCCTGCTCTGCGGGAAGCCTGCTTCTCCCTCTCCCACTCCCCCTGCTTGTGTTCCCTCTCTCTCTGTCAAAAAATAAATAAAATCTTTAAAAAAAAAAAAACTAATTTGAAATACTTGAATCCAATGGCCTTTAAAAAAAAAAAAACCAATGACTTCTTTTTGAAGTGTACTGTGTTTTTTAATTTTCAAGTGGCTGTGGAGGCATGTTGATTTGAGGTCTCTGACTAGGTGAATACTGCCAGGATCCTTCATGTTTGGGTTGACTGATTAGAAAGTCCTGGTTGGTTGTGATTTCTTTCTTTCTTAACCTTTTTTTTTTTAATGTTATGTTAATCACCATACATTACATCATTAGTTTTTGATGTAGTGTTCCATGATTCATTATTTGTGTATATCTTTCTTTTTTTTCTTTAAATCCAAATCCGGCTGTTTTTCATGAAGTATGAGCCTATAACTCAATTGATAGTTAGGTCATACTGAAGTAGTCTTCAAAATATCAAAAGTGAAATACTGTGAATGCATGGATTATGTTGTGTTTTAGACAGTGTCTTCTGTTTTCTTACAGATAGCACAACAATAGAAAAATTAAGAGCTATTTGTTTAGACCACGCCAAACTTGGAGAAAGCAGCCTTAGTCCATCTCTTGACTCGCTTTTCTTTGGTCCTTCAGCCTCACAAGTGCTCTACCTAACAGAGGTTGGTTTTTTTCCCTTTTGAATTTATTTCATGTTCTTTGAACTTGACCTTTTTTTATATGGTAATGTGAAGAACATGGATAAAATTTATAATGAAATTTTTTTAAATGGTCAAGAATTTCTTAGCAATGATGATAGGGAAAATAGAAGTTATCTTTTTAAACCCTTTTAATACAGTCCTTTTCTTTTTTCCAGGTAGTCTATGCCTTGTTAATGCCTGCTGGTGCACCTCTGGCTGATGATTCCTCTGATTTTCAATTTCACTTCTTGAAAAGTGGTGGCCTACCCCTTGTACTGAGCATGCTAACCAGAAATAACTTCCTACCAAATGCAGATATGGAAACTCGAAGGGGTGCTTACCTCAATGCTCTTAAAATAGCCAAACTGTTGCTAACTGCCATTGGCTATGGCCATGTTCGAGCTGTAGCAGAAGCTTGTCAGCCAGGTGTAGAAGGCGTGAATCCCATGACATCGGTAATACACTTTTTAAAAATGTCTTTTTTTATATTAATAAATGGTAATTTTTTTAAGTTTTATTTCAGAGTTGATTCAGAATGTTTCAAGTTCCCTTCCAGTGGTATCTTATTTCAGAGGTTTTTGTCTATTAAATTCGTATGAAAAGTGGAAATGCTCTTTACTGGCTGTACTCTAAGAGGACAGTTCCTCCCTGCTCCTTTAAACCCTGTTTGGCTTTCAGTTATTTTAAACCTGATAAAAACTCCATATGAATCTCTTATTAACTTGTACCTGGTAGATATATGAAGATACAGGTGGTAATAGGAACGTTGTAATTGACTTAGCCTGCTGCCAGTCTCTCTTCCCACCTTGATAGGCTTAACCTCCAGTTCTGAGCTTATTCCGCCAGCTCTGGACTCTGTCTTTGCCTTGGTGGCATCCTTAATCCATCTCACCAGAAGTTCTTAAGACATGCCATAATTCAATGTCTACTTACGAGAGGTCAAACTATGCACTTAATTCTGACTAAAATTTGAGGTTTTCTATATTCATCACAAGTGATGGTTTACCAAGTTTATCAATAGAAGATAAACGCTTCAGGAATATAGATTCTATTTTTTTAAATGGCCTAGGTCTTAATCAGGGAATTGGAGTTTTGATTAGATATGTGATACATTAAATACGTGATACGGAATACCGCGTATATTGTCCTAATAGCAAATGTCAATAGCTGTGACTGAAATGCCTTAATGTTTCTCCTTTTCAAAGAAGAAAATGATGAGCAGTTGAAATGGGAGCAGGTTGCACACATGTAAGAGGCGTGGAGTAATTTATTGAGTCTTCAGATAGGGTTGGAATCATCACTTCAGTTTATCACGTCTGCAGGTTACACTGTGGCCACATGTAGAGACACAAGTTGAGTTGATCTAGAATGGGTATTTGCAGAGGGACGTGTAGCACCTTGTTGCACAAGAAAAAGTAGAGGCCCACAATGTTGGCAATATGGACTGCTTTTTGTGTAAGTCACTACAGTTCTCCAGTGAATATATATGGAATGGAGGTCATTTTGAGCTAGTGGTGATGGGTGGGGAGCAAGTGGTTGGGTCCGGTTCTGTACAAATTACTTACTTCAAGCAAAATGGTTGTTTTTTCAGGTCAACCAAGTTACTCATGATCAAGCCGTGGTGCTACAAAGTGCCCTTCAGAGCATTCCTAATCCATCATCAGAATGCATGCTTAGAAATGTGTCCATTCGTCTTGCTCAGCAAATATCTGATGAGGTTAGTATTAAACTTTTTAAGCTGTGAAATCCTGCAAGGTCTATTTCTGTGTTTGACCTTCTATTTAAATCTTACCACGATTTAAGGCTGAATTTTCCTAAGGCCCATTCACTCTAATCACTCTCTTCAGTCTAAAGTTCCCTTAGCATGAATTTTATCTAATATTAACGTTAGCACTTTCCATTTTGAATCACCTTTATGTACAGTAAACAGCATCCTTTAAAAGTATATAATTCAGTCTTCACAAATGCAGGTATGTATGAAACCATCACCATAATCAAGACATAGAACATTTCCATCACTCTGTATATCCCTCTGTAGTCCCTTCCCTCTACCCCAGGTAACCAGTGATCTTTTGTCACTATAGAATAGTTTTCATTTTCTAGCATTTTATACAGGTGAAATTCTACAATGTGTGTTCTTTTATGTCTAGCTTCTCCCACTCCGAATAACATTGAGAATTATCTGTGTAGTGTAGACCATTAGTCCATTCCTGTTTGCTGCTGAGTAATATCCCATTATGAATATTCCACATCCGTACACTTGGCAATGGACATGTGGATTGTTTTCCTCTTCTGGCTGTGGATAAAGCTGCTGTGACCATTGTGTGGACTTGGTTTTCATTTTTTTATGGGTAAAAAAATGAGTAGAATGGTGGTAGGATCATCTTTGTAGTCTTTTTAAGATGCTTTTGAAAGTAGTAATACAGGGCCAGATAATAACTTGGAGAGCATACTTTGTGGTATTGCTGTTAAATGAGAAAAAGGGACAAAAGCAATTTGGGAACCTTAAGATAATGGTACTGCTTCACAGCCATTCCTATTTCTTTTACAAGGAGAAACATTTTTTTCCAGTTATTATTTTATTCTAATATGCTGTCAAACCATTTTTATTATTCATTGTCTTGCAGGCTTCAAGATACATGCCTGATATCTGTGTAATTAGAGCTATTCAAAAAATCATCTGGGCATCAGGATGTGGGGCATTACAGCTAGTATTTAGCCCAAATGAAGAAATCACTAAAATTTATGAGAAGGTAAGAACTATCTCAGAAATACTTTCCTTTTAAATTAATGTTGTTTGGGGCGCCTGGGTGGCTTAGTCGTTTAGCGTCTGCCTTCGGCTCAGGTCATGGTCCCAGGGTCCTGGGATCGAGCCCCGCGTCGGGCTCCCTGCTCAGCGGGAAGCCTGCTTCTCCCTCTCCCACTCCCCCTGCTTGTGTTCCGTCTCTTGCTGTGTCTGTGTCAAATAAATAAAATCTTTTTAAAAATCAATTAATTAATGTTTAATTGTGTGTGAGGCTGAATCCTTACATCTGCTATCTTTAAAAATCCAATCATTTGCATCTTCATGGTTGAAAATTAAATGGTAGCTATAGGTAAGATGAGAGTACAGTAAAATTTTACTTTTGAAGTAAAGTACTTCAGAATCCTGCCATAAAGCTGCTTTTTCATATATGAAACGATGTTTTTCTGTTTCTCACTAGAGTCATTTATGATCTCCTACTGAATTTGCTTTTTCCTATTCTCTCCATTCTTTTTCTTTCATCATCTTTCTGTCCTATGTAAATTTTGGTTTAGTTAACTATCAGCTGTGGTGTCCTGGCATTTAAATATTTTTGTCTTTTAAAACAGTCAAAGGTAGAAAGAGTGTCAGCCAATTAGGTATCCTCTCTGACCTTCCCTTAGATGAAGCAAATTATGTACAGACGTGAGACTGTGTTTTCATTTCCTGTTTTCTTTCATTTCCTGTTATATGTACTTGCCGCTCATAATCACTGCTGAATATTTAGAAAAGAAAATTAAATTTATAGGAACTTTTGGGCTTAGTAGAGCTTCCTTTTTTTTTTTTTAAGATTTTATTTATTTATTTGAGAGAGAGAGAACGAGAGA